AGGTGGAGAAGTCTACTCAACAACAAACTGAGAACTTCCTTACCCTTATAAGTAATGAGAATGAGATTGCAGAGTATGTAAGAGAATCTGATTATTTTTATCCAATTAAAAGGACTTTTTTACAGCAAATAAGGAAGACGAGGGTGTTCCACCTGAGGTGCAAGAAATATTAACAGAATTCAAAGATTTGGTTTTCAATAAATTGCCAAATGAGTTACCTCATGTGAGGAATATTCTGTATCAGATTGATTTGGTACCTAGGGCGAGCCTTCTAAATTTTCCTCATTACCGAATGAGTCCGAAGAAGAGTAAGGATTCATCTACTTAGGTGAATCAAATTTGTAAGGTACTTTTGTTGATTGAAACTTATCACAAATCAGAAGTTATTTGTGAACTTGTTCAGTCGGATGGATGTCATATTCTACTGGATAGATCATGACAAATTAATGTGGATGACATAAATAAAGATAGAAAGAATACTGACAAGTTTAAGTGAAAAAATAAAAATAATAAAAAAAATTACAAGAAGGAGGACATATAAAGCTTCTAAAGTGGAAGGGAAAGATTTTCCTGACTATCCCAAATACAAACAATGAGTTTTCTTTAGATAAGCCTTTACATCCTAATGACAACTTGGGGTCGAGTTGTTTTAAAGTGGAAGGGAGTAATGCTAGACAATACCAAGATAAAATTCAAAATCAATTGGGAAATGAAAGAAATAAAATAAACATTATTTTCTATTAGGAATCATGTGTTTAGCTCTATCTTTTCTAGTTGTGCTTATCTTTCCTAGGTATAATTGTTATATGAACTTTATCTTTTATTTAATTAGTATTATAAATTCTTTATTGGTTAGAATTTGAATTTTAATTAGATTATGATTTTATTAGTTTCCTTATTTTAGACTCTTTATATTAGTAAAGTTAGGAGGTAATTTTGCCTATATATGGGCTTTGTACACTTTTTCAGAGTTCAATTCTATTATTCAATTCTTTGTTAATAAGATATTTTAGTTTTTCAATTTATTTGTGGATTCAAATATTTATTTGGTGGATTCCAAATAATTATCACGTTCGTTTGAATGAAATTCTAGCAAACACCCGTTCGTGTGTTACGAGCTAAACACTTTTATTATTATCCATGTTTCCATTCTGCATTATATGTCTTAGTGTTCAATGTATATTAGAAACGGAAAGAGTTGCCTCTTGATTATTTGCCCATATCTTTTGACCCATACAATCATGTTAGTCTCAATTAGGCTTGTAACTAGATTATTTCCTTTGGAAGGTGGTGCAACTCCATGTTGCTCATATCTTTTATGGGATCAGTTCTCTTAATCTTATTTCAAGTGCGAGTAACTTCATGCTAGCCTATTCCAACCGAAGATATTGACTCGCTTGACATTGTCTAATTCTTGTTTGGTAATTCAGATTATTAGTAGATTTTGATAAAAGTTGATGAAATGTGTTATAGAAAAGTTGTTGGTCCTATAAAATATGTGATCAATATTAGGTGTTGATTTTGACTTAGATTAAAATCTAAATTTTAATTTGTATCAATTGGAGGCCTAATCTTTCTTCATGAATAAATTAGGAAAGAAAACAAAGGTAGATCAAATTAATTGAATCAAATGATCAAATTGAAATGAATTTTTCAATAAAAATAACAATCAACAAGACAAACTCTATGTAATTGACTGTGAATGTGTTGAGACTATAGCTTAAATATTTGGTGAATTTGACATTATTAAAGGGAAAAAAAGGATTAAATTTTTATCTACTATAAATTTGGATTCGTTGTCGTGAACCGTGTACCAATCACATCCTAAATGTTTTATATTATATTTTGATGGTCATGTCCCCAACAATTTTGTATAATGCGAACGGAAAACACTGGTCAATATTAATTATTAATTTAGAAAGTTTTTATTTTAAGAGTAAATTAAGGAATCTTTTGAAGCTTGGTGGACACCTCAACATTTCAATACCTACGGCTTCAAATTACCAATCAAATTCAGTCAGCAATTGAAATAGCATGCAAGTTTAAATAAATGCAGAAAAATAATAATGCAGTGGTTGTCAGTTTTAATTAGTTAATGCAAATTGATGATTAAAGAGCAAATGCTTTCTCGTGTTAATTAGTAACTAATTAGTGACAGCTAATCGTGACTGCGACATTATATCAGAAAATTTAGATGCATAGTATTATTTTATTTTTAAAGGGGACAGGCTAACATATTGGTATTGCTGTTATTTTTATTACACTTTATAATGTATCAAAGAGACCCTAAATAGTTTTAAATTAAACATTTGATAAAAATATAATTTAGAGTCAATATTAATTTTAATTACACATTTTTTGGACCATGACTTTTATCTTTGATTCTCATTTTTCCTAAAATAAATTTCTCTCTCTTATTTTCAACCACATATTCTTCATTAAAATAATATTACACACAAACTAAAAACTTTTCCTTAATTTTTTAATCACACATTCTCCATCAATCTATTATTCCAAAATACAATCTTAAAAAAGCATTGGTCTCAAACACAACCTAAATATATACTACAGGGTAATTATCACAAAAAGTTCATACCTTTCAATGTTATTAGGGAAAATTGCAGCCGAGGTACCAAACCTTTCGTTTATTAGCAGAATTTGCCCAAACCTTTAGTTTGTGCCACCGGAGATACCAAACCTTTAAAAAATGTGTGGGGCCAGTCCAAAATGACGGTTTTCGTCTGTTTGACCACAAAAACCATCAGTTGACCCCTTTAATGATAATTTCAAGAATTTTTCCCAAATAAGTGAAGGGCAACATGGTCATTACACACATTTTCCTCCGATTATATACTTCACTGTTTATTTCCCTCCATTTCTTTATCACTATATATTACCTACCTTCTCTCTCACAGGTAGTAAAAAAAAATCAGCACGCACATGGAGGGGAATGTATGTAGATGTGGTTCCCTAGTGCAGATGAAGACCTCGTGGACGAACTTGAACTCGGGAAGAAGATTTCTCACTTGTCCTCGAAGCCAAGATGTGGGTGAATGCACCTTCTTTATGTGGTGTGACCCTCCGATGTGTGAGAGATCGAAGGAATTGATTCCTGGTCTATTACGAGCTAGGAGGGAAATGGAAGCTAAAATCGACACCCTTCAAGCAACAAGACCAAACGTATGGAAGATCTGGCTCTTTGGCTTTGTGTGTGGAGTGTTTGCAAAATGGGTTTGTTCCTAGGTATGTAAGGTCAGATTGTAGGATTTTAATTTTTTGTTCTAGAAATTTGAGCTTAGGGTTTCGAAATGGAGCCATGTGCTAGATGTTGTGAAATGCATATGTAAAAAAGGAAAAATTGTGTTGTACATTTTGACTTGAAATTTAACGATATTTTCCTAGCCTCTATGTCAAATGTAAAATTAAGATAACAGATTACACTTCAAACTTATCTGAAGAAGGTGCAGCATACGTACCAAACCTTATAACGATTCGCAGAATCAGTATCAAACATTTTCTAATGGTTTCAGACAGAGTACCAAACCTTTAAAAATATTGCAGTAAAGGTACCAAATGTTTGATAATACTTTCATAGGAAGTATCAAACATTCTCATATATTTCATAATCGCCTACACATCAGATCTTATGAATACAATTTCAGAAACCAACGACAAACAGCAGAAACATAATGCAAGATATTCGACATCAACATTATCATCTCATTGAACAATTTCATCAAAAATTCCAGTTACATCTACAAAATACACAGCATTGGAAGCACATATTTCCAGTTCAGTTTATAAAAAACCACAGCATTTTCCCAAAAAGGTAACTATACAAGAGAAACCACATGATGTTCAAGATTTCGATCCTTTATGCTTGGATTTCTTTGTCTGTGACTTGGATGTTTGCGTTGTATGTGCTTTTCTCTTCCCCTTCGCTGATCTGGTATGTGTATCTTCTTGTGTGGTTGGTTGAGACTGTTGCTGTGAACTATCTTCACCAGGCAGTGCCTCCTTACAGCTTCTTTTGTTATGTCCAGACTCTCCACAGCGTTTATATGTCATCTTCATGCTAGTCCTTCCCATCTTAACGCTTGTAGGTGGCTCTGCTTGTGACCTCTTCCTCAATTTTTTGGGTCTGCCAGCCTGTTTTCTCTTCTGAGGTTGATTGAGAGGATGCTTTCCCAATTCTGGCCACAGTTCAGGCCCTGACATCGAGTGGATCATTGGGGGCAACATTTCAGGTATGTCTCCTTGCTATACCATGGGTCGATGTACTCATATATGCCAATATCCCTTGAAAGCATGCCTGATATTGCATCGGAACATGGTATTCCAGTGAGCTGCCATTTTCTGCAAGCGCATGCATGTTTTGTCAAGTCAACGCTCTACCTTAAATCGTCTCTACTGTTTATCTCAAATTTATGGTTGCCTACATAGTCTGCCTTCAAGTACCTTGCCTCAGACTTAGCCTTCTTAATGATTTTCACAATTCTTGGCCCGAATGCATGATCCAACCTCTGTACCGCTTCCCTTTTTACATTCATCCTTATCATTTGCTAATGCCGAATTTTCTCTAGCATGGAGATGATGGGCCTGTCTCTGGCAACAACAATGGAAGAGTTGAATGTCTCACACAAATTATTAAGAAGAATATCACATCTCGAATGCTCTTCAAAATGGGATCTGGTCCACTGGGAAGGAGGTTTTTCAAGGAACCAGTTGTAAGCCTCTTCACTTATGTCTTTTAACTCATTCATTGCACTCTTTCACTCTGGCACTGTTGTTGCCCTTGCTGCAGTCCAAAATAGGTTCTTAAGTGCCAGATCTTTGTGTGCCAAGGTGAAATTACTATAAAGATGTCTAGCACAACACCTATGCTCCGCTCCTTCACAGTATTGACTTATGGAATCCACCAAACCCTTTTGTTTGTCGGAAATGAATGTCCAAGCTCGAGGGTTGTGCAACCCTATGTCATGAACCAACAATTCTATGAACTATTGCCAGTTTGTTTTGTTCTCTACATCCACAACTGCCCATGCTAATGGGAACATATAGTTCTCACCATCGATCCCAACAGCTGCCAACAACTGTCCACCTTCTACAGATTTTAGGAAGCATCCATCCAACCCAACAACTGGCCTACACCCAGCCTTAAACCCTTCCTTACAAGCCCTTATACAGATGTACAATCTCTTAAAAGTATGTCCCGAACCTTCGATTTGCACTGTACTGCCTGGATTTGTTCTCTTCAATTCCTCACCGTAATCCCATAAAATTTTGTACTGCTCAGCTACAATTCCATTAATAACTTCTGCACATTTTGATCTTGTCCTGTAGAATTGATGCTTTGAAATCTCATACATGCAGTCCTCTTTCACAATCTCCATAAAACTACTCATTGGAATGTTTGGATCAGACCTAAATTTTCTCACGTATTTCTTCGCCAGAAAACCTGAATTAACCCTTTTATTTTGCCACACCATGGTACACGTGTGCTCATCTACAAATGTGTTAATTCTAAGACTCTTGTCGGGTTGTTGGTATGCATACAGAACCCAAGGGCAATTATCTTGACACCGAACTCTCAACTGTGTCCTCATATTTTTCACGTATCTCAGTTGCCTGGAATTTTCGACTGAGTATTGAACTACTGCATTCCTTAGAATCTTGACGTTGTCGAATTTCATCCCTGGTAGAAATCAATTAAACCAGAATGCATTATCATCCAAATGAATTAAACCAGAAATGAATTACACAAAACAGTGGACATTACCTAGCTTGAACTGTGGATCTTCCATATCAGTTGCAGGGTTAAATCAGCACACATTCTTCCTTCTGGCAGATGATCCCTCAGCCTCTGTATCACTGGGTAAGCTTCTAAGCTCACTGGAGTCTTCGTATTATCTTCCAGATTCTTCCCTAGCAGCTGCCTCGCCTTCCTGCTCATCCCTTACACCTTACTGCTCACCACTTACACCAATGTCAAAACCTTCACTCAACCTGAAATATGTGTTTTCATCCCTTACACTTTCCTGCTCACCACTTGCACCTCTGGTTCGGCATCATACAACTCATGTTCAGCAGCCTGCTGCTGTGGTCCAGAAACATACACATCAATTTCAGCAGGCTGCACCTCTGCTTCGGCATCATGTTCAGCAGCCTGCGCCTCTTGTTCAGCAGCATGCAGCTCCTGCTGCTGTGGTCCAGAAGCATGCATATCAATTTCAACAGGCTGCACCTCTGCTTCGACATCATGTTTAGCAACCTGCGCCTCTTGTTCAGCAACCTGCAGCTCCTGCTGAGCCTGTTTCTGTGGTTCAGCGTCATGCAACTCATGTTCAGACCTCAACTGTGGTTCAACATCATGTGGTTTCTCTGGTTCAGCAGCATGCACTTCTGATTCATGTGAGTCTACTTCAGCCCCTATTAAAATCAACCTCTGTATACTCATGCTCTGTTCCACGCACTATATAAACTTCCTCTTCATCTGCTTCCATGTCATCCACTTCATCAACTACATACACGTCATCACCTTCTACTGATTTGTCATAAATCTCAATAGCATAACATGGCTGCTGTCATTCAATGCTTCACCAGACTTTTGAACCTTCACCAACTCCTCACCAGTCTCACAATCAAACACTTGAACATCCTTCTATTCTGTTTCATCCTTAGGCAACTCCAAAACCTCAACTACAGGCAAGCAATACAGTTCGGCTGTCCTATTATCACCAAGCCACTTCACTAAATTCATGAAATATGAGTCTTTAACCAACCAAAATGAACCTTCACTCATTCTTTTCTTCTCAATCTTGTACAGATATCTAATTCTATCAGAATATCCTAACATCTTCACGGCATTGTCCAAAAGAAATCTATTGAAGAAATTAGGGTCGATATAGTCTATATAACTTATTTTCCCATACTCATACACAAAATTTCTCATCTTCTGAAATAAAATTCCACCATGATGAAGCTGTATGCTGAAGTACTTTGAATTTTCCCCTGAAAAAACATCGAAAAAAGGAAGTTAAGCCCTAGCCCTTTTCAGTTCGAGCAACGAACATGTGCAGAAAAGATAGTACACAAGCATTACGCTCTAATACAACAAATCACTTAAAATTTTTGAATTTCTAGTACGTGAACACAATCGAACAGGGGAACTTCATAATCATACAACTTCACACCGTGAACCGAAAATAGGGGAAGACACTTACCATACACGGGTTGGGGAAGAGAGCCTCGAATGTGGGCTAAAATGTCCACTGGATGTTCGTCTTCTTCGAAGTCCGTTTCGTCTTCTTCGTGGATTTTCGCAGGTTTCATAGTGGATGGTGAGTGGAATTAAGTTACAACTGACGTGTTTGATGTTGAGGAGGGAAATGTGTGTAATGATCATATTGCCGTTCACTTATTTGGGAAATTTTTTTGAAATTATCATTAAAGGGGTCAACTGACGATTTTGGCAGTCAAACAAACTGAAACCATCATTTTGGACTGGCCTCACACATTTTTTAAAGGTTTGGTATCTCCGATGGCGCAAACTAAAGGTTTGGGCAAAGTCTGCTAATAAACGAAAGGTTTGGTACCTCGGCTGTAATTTTCCCATGTTATTATGCAAAACGTTCATATCTTTCATTTTTTGTACTTTTTGCCCCTAACTGTCACTTTTCATTGCGCAAAAGTTCATTTTCATCAATATTTTTCAATGAAATTACAATTTTACAATTTCACAACCTACCAAGCTATCACCTATAGATCCACATAGCACCACCTTCGCCCACAATGTCCGTTGGACTCCACCACCACTGCCAACCTCGCCTCACTCCCTGACCGCCCTCTCACACACGAATTTGAAAGATTGGAGCACTTAGAACGCACTAATTTTGGTCAAACAGCTTTCGTTGTGCATCGCGCGCGTAGAGAGTTTTTTATCAGAAATTGAAACGGTTGAGGGGATAATTTGTTCAATTAGATTCAGACACATTGTTGTTTGGGTTTGCTGATGGTTCGATTGATATTAATTTGGGGATTTAGCATTGTGGAATGCATGAATTGAAGGAGAAGAGTTTGGAAAATTGGATGTCACTACTGCCGAATGTTCTAAAATTACAACAAAATGATTTGAGATAGTTTTGATTGATGCGAGACCATGTATAGGTTCATCAAGGCGAGGGATAACCGTTGGTGATGGTGCGCGACCGTGGGTGGCGTCAAAAGTGGGATTACCCTGAAGGGTTGTATACGACAGTTTGATATTTTGAGCTATAAATGTGATTGCTTCAAACTGATTGGTAACTGATACTGTGGAAGAGGATGTTCGGGAGAGTGAGACGAGGTTGGTGGTAGTGGACTCCGACAGGTATTGTGGCTGGAATGTGGCACCCTATATGAACATAGGAGGGTAAAAATGTCATTTTGTTGAAAAAATGATGAAAATGAACTTTTGCGAAATGAAATGTGAAAGGTGGGTGAAAATGTCAAAAAATGAAAGGTATGGACGTTTTGTACAATAACATTGAAAGGTAAGGACTTTTGTGCTAATTACCTTATATTCCATAAACTTTTATCAAAATCTATTAAAAATTTGATTTTTAGCAAAACTAAATAGGGGCTAAGTTGCGAGGATAAATTAGAGCTTGTTTATTAAAGTAGGCCAAAAATTTTAATCTAAAATGGACACGGGCTAATTGAATTTGTTTTAAAATTTTATGATTTTCAGAATATTTATAGCCTTCGGTTTAAATAAATATATTTATTTTCTCTTTATATAACGTGTGTTTGAAAAGTAGTTGTTCCATAAAATTGACTCAACCTTAAATAAAGTTAGAACATCTCCAAAAGACTCTCTATTTATAAAGAGTATCTTCTGCATAATAGAGAGCATCTTTAAATTTAGAGAGTAATTTTTTTATACACTCCAACAAGCTCTTTACTTTGATTCTTTATTTTTTTTCCAATGAACATTTAATAATTTCTCCATATATTTTATTTAAGTATAATTTTTTATATATTAATGACCACTCAATTCAAATGTAATTTGAAAATTTTAAATTGAAGAGTATTGAAATTTGTAATGTGTTAAATGTAATCATTGCACATAAAGAATAGAGAGCGAGTTTGACTCTCTGAATTTGGAGAGTCAAACACACTTTCTATTTTAAAAAGTTAAAATAGAGGGTCTCTTGAAATCCATTTTTAAGTATTGACTCTCTAAAATAGAGAGTATTTTGTGTTTAAAGAATCTCTTGGAAATACTTTTAAGATTCCCTCTCGAGACATGAGATATTGACCCTGGATTGGAAGGGTGCAATTAAGTCAACAAACGGAAACGTTAAAAGAAGTCGTTACTCCAATGCTTTGAAAAAAGCTTGTATTAACCCAGGAAGAATCCATGAGCAAGTTCTCCATATGGCTTGAATTTGTCATGGCTTATGCATGAAAAGCAATAATATCTACTTTAAAAATTGGACTTTTAATGTTTTCTTATTCAAATGATACAACATAGATTAACGATAGAGAATTGAAATTCTTTGTTAGAGCTTGTTTGGTAGTGATTATGAGAATTGATTTTTTGATCGTTAGAGAGAAAAATGAGTCCCACTTATGAGTGAAAATGTAAAAAATGACAACTAAAATAATGAAATAACGATCAAAAAATTGATTTTTTAGAATGAAAAATTGCTACCAAACAAGGGCTTAGATTTTGCTATTTGTACATTTTGGGTTGGCACATCAGATGATAGCCCCCAGGGTCTTACAACATTTTTCGTTTGTCGAGTAAAGGTAGGATAACGAGGTGCAATTATTTTATCCTATTTAAATTGTTTATTTTTTGTTGTTGAATTATTATCCTTATGAAAGTTTTAAAATATAATATGATATGTATGTTATGGCCATCCGTTACCAAATATATAATGTTTATTGAGCTCTTACCAATTTTCAAAGATATGATGACGGTATAATATTTTTGACACATATATTTAAATATTTTTATTTGGGATTGTACCATAATTTTTTTGTCCTACTGAGTGTTCTCATGTACTTACCCTTTTTCTATACTTCTCACAGGTTAGAATGGGTCGTTAATTGGTGAGTGATAATGTGCAGTTGTGATATGATACCCAATAATAATAATTCAGCGAAATTTGACCATGGATTTTTATTTCAGCATTGGTTTTAGTTTCGTTATTATTATGGAAATTGTTATTTAGAGTTAAGAACATGTTTATTTGGTTATGTTTTCCATGTGTTTTATTTTTATTGGTGGAACCAAAAATTTCGTGTTAGGATATTCGATATGTTTATTTAATTATGGAATGAAAGTTTTAGTAACAATTTAAATGCCAAAATTTGGTCATTATAGTTTAATTTTCTGTAGATCCATATGTATTTTCATAATATAAGGAAAAAAAAAATATATATATATATATATTAAAGATGTGAACAATTAGTTGAAAAAAAAAATGAGTAAAAGAAAAAAAATGCATTTTAAGTAATTGGTTAAAGTGTGTGCATGTGTGTATGTATATATATTTTTAAGATGGAGGATTGTAAATTAAATAAAAGGAAAAACTTGCTAGCTAGTCACATAATAATGAGTGAAATCGTCTAAAATTAAATAAAAGGAAATACTTGCAAGTCCCATACTAATGAGTGAAATGTCTAACCTACTGTATAAAATATTTTGAGTCTTGTCGTCTATCATAACATATGGTACTTTTTATATTTTGAAGTTTCAAACTAATCCTTTAGTTATGTATGGGTATTTATATATAGATGCGAATAAAACTTTTAGAAATGCCTCCTCTAAAAAAGGGGGAAAATGACGATGTTATATTAATATTGAACTTCCATGTTTTAAATGCTACGTGTATTAAATATTTATTTGTTTAGCCATTAAATTGTGTAGTATTTGTTAAAAATTAATATTTTATGATATATAAA